ACCCCAGCTAGATACTCATCTAACCTCCTCTTGAAGACCCCCAGGGTAGGGGAGAGCACCACCTCCCTTGGGACCCCGTTCCAGACCCTGGCCACTCGAACTGTGAAGAAGTTCTTCCTAATGTCCAGTCTAAATCTGCTCTCTGCTAGCTTGTGGCCATTATTTCTTGTAACCCCCGGGGGTGCCTTGGTGAATAAATACTCACCAATTCCCTTCTGTGCCCCCGTGATGAACTTATAGGCAGCCACAAGGTCGTCTCTCAACCTTCTCTTGCGGAGGCTGAATAGATCCAGTTTCTCTAGTCTCTCCTCGTAGGGCTTGGTCTGTAGGCCCTTAACCATACGAGTGGCCCTTCTCTGAACCCTCTCCAGGTTATCCGCATCCCTCTTGAAGTGCAGCGCCCAGAATTGCACGCAGTACTCCAAATGCGGTCTGACCAGCGCCCGATAGAGGGGAAGTATCACCTCCTTGGACCTATTCGTCATGCATCTGCTGATGCACGATAAAGTGCCATTGGCTTTTTTGATGGCTTCGTCACACTGCCGACTCATGTTCATCTTGGAGTCCACTAGGACTCCCAGATCCCTTTCCACTTCCGTGCCACCCAGCAGGTCATTCCCTAGGCTGTAGGTGTGCTGGACATTTTTCCTCCCTAGGTGCAGCACTTTGCATTTCTCCTTGTTGAACTGCATTCTGTTGTTTTCTGCCCACTTGTCCAACCTGTCCAGATCTGCTTGCAGTTGTTCCCTGCCCTCCGGCGTGTCCACATCTCCCCATAGCTTTGTGTCATCTGCAAACTTGGACAGAGTACATTTCACTCCCTCGTCCAAGTCACTGATGAAGACATTAAAGAGTATCGGTCCAAGGACCAAACCCTGCGGGACCCCACTGCCCACACCCTTCCAGGTCGAAACCGACCCATCCACCACAACTCTCTGGGTGCGACCCTCCAGCCAATTCACCACCCACCGGACTGTGTAGTCATCCAAGTCACAGCCTCTTAACTTATTCACCAGTATGGGGTGGGATACCATATCGAAGGCCTTCCTGAAGTCTAAGTCTATTCCTTCTTTGATGGGAGCAGATGAGAGCTCCCACTCCCTGCAGAGCTGATGTCTTCATAGGGTCACTCAGTGCCTGGGACCAATGAGAGGGATATGCTTTTGGTGGCTTTTGGGGGTTTGCTTGGGTCACTAGTCTGAAGTCCTCCCATGGGAATCACAGGCCTCAAGGCACACAGGAGAGGTAGAGTGGGAGTGGGGTCTATAGCCAACTTTGGGTTTAAATGTATGGGGCATGATGCAATTGCTCAGTTAGTTGGAGCTGAGGAACTGCTCTTTGCAACCTGCTGCCTCTCCTCAGGATAAGAATGGGGCCCGCTTGTACTGACTGATTGGAAGCCATTCTGGCCTCCAATTCCTTACAGATGTGCTAGAGCTCGAAGCCAGGATGAATCCAGACAGCAGGGAGACTTCCACAATCACCATGTTGGAAACAACTCTCCTCCCAATGTAGCTGGAGGGTGGGGGAAGAATGGCAGAGAAGATGCAAACCATCAGAAGCTATGTAAACAAGTGGTAACTGAAGCTATTGATCCTCCTCTGGCCCCAGTTTCTCCCACAGCTCTACTGCCTCTGCATGACAGCCCTGGGGCCAGGGCCAGGACCCTCCCAGAAGAAACCTGGGACCTTGGCTTGGAATAGTGTCTAAGATGGTTTCCTTGCTCTGACCAGCCCTAGGGGGCATCTCCCACAGTTATTCCCCTTCTATCCATCCTTGTCCTCTCCCTCTCTGTAGGAGGATATTAAATGGGACAGCACTACCTCCACTCTTCCATCCTCCAGAGGCAGAGGCACAACCAGAGGCACAACTGCCCCAAGGGCCCTGGTTCCCTTCTTTCCATTTCCTCACAGCTGCCAAATTTGCCCACCAGCTGTGCCCATCCAAACAACCCAACACCTCCCTCACAGCCACTGAGCCCACCCTGACTCCCCAAATATGTCCCCCTCCCACTTCCCAGGGGTAGCCACATCCCAGGTCAGATGCGCACGGGCTGTGTGGAGGTGGAGGCTTTCTTGGCCTTACCTGACACTAACACGAAGAGTGAGGATGGACACATCTCTGCTGTTGCAGTTGACCAGCTCTGTGGTGATGTGCAAAGCGAAGGTTACAGAGGCCTGTGGGGGAGGCTCATGGTACCTCAGTACCATCTGCAAGGCAGAGAGTGACCCAAATCATCTTCCAGATGTATTACTATTTGGAGCTGAAGTTTTTTCCCAGATTCATAGGTTTTAGGGCCAAGAGAGGCCATTGTAATCATTTAGTCTGGCTTCCTATATAACTTGATACAAAAGCCACAGAACCACCTCCAATAAGCTCTGTAGAAACCTCTAACAGGAGCAGCCTGAGCCAGGATGTTCCCACATTCAGTGCTATGATGGGAAACAGCAGAGGAAGTGAACATGAAGGACAGTGGCAGTCAGTCAACCTCCACTGCTGGATGCGTCAACTGAGCAAGCAAATGCAGTGGCACTCTTGGGTCATGAAAACTGGTCTCTAGTCCAGCCCTGCATGAGAAGCACAGCCAGTGTCTAACTTCCCCCATCCCCCTGGGAGCGAAGACCTACCTGGGCAAAGACACAGCCTCTGCCCTTGGCCTGGAGTGAGTACTTCCCAGGGACTTCTGTCAGTGTTTCCTGCTGCAGCAGCAGCCGGTTCTTGTGGGTGACCTGGAACTTCCTCTCAAAGCTGCCCTGGGATGCCACCATCACCTCCAAGTCTGCCTCCTTGCTGTATGTCAGGGCAGCATATTTGGCCAACGCCTGAAGGGCAACCACTGTGTCCTGAAGGGGAAGAACCAGTCACCTCACTGCTGACGCTCTTTCAAGCCAGGAACAACATCCTTGGACTCAGTGCACAAACAGCAGCATTCACACTCCTGCTGGCTCCGCACTCCAGGAATTAGCTCTGAGATTCACAATCCCAGGCCCTATGCCCAGTGCCCAGCCAGGGGTAACAGTAATTTGCACATGCTCCCATCATAGAGGTACCTTCTCCAGTGGGGCCCCAGCCCATTCCTCTCCCCAGCATCCCGCTCTGGTTACCTGCGTGGAGGCAAAGCCCCCATAGGCATTCTGCTGCTTGGTGAGCCAGGCCACAATGCTAGAGGCTGTGGCAATGTCAGCCCTGGTCACTGGCTTGGAAAGCAGGGCAAGGAGCATGTAGGCTGTCAACTCCACATCCACTGACTGGGGTTGGGACCAGGTGCTGGTGCTGGGTGGCTTGGAGGGGGCCTGGCTCCAGTGGATCTGCCCTCCTAGGGGAGGAGAGAATTAGTCAAAGCACTGTCAGAGCAGATGTTCTCAGGCTTGGGACACAAGCAAGGCACCCAGTGCCCGGGGACTGCTCAAAGCCACTGGGTAAATCTCTCCTGGCTACATAGATGGCCATGCAAGAACTCTGCCTATTGCATCCCACCTTAAAGACCTTCATTCGTAGGTAGGAAACTTGCGCTCCAAAGGGTGAGATGAAACTTTCCTTTGGTTACACGTTGTTTAGTAAGTATGTGGGGACTACCTGCACAATCAGGTAAAATCCCTCTCAGTCCACACTGAGAGAGGCCACTTGGGAATAGTCTCCTAGTCCTCAGTAGCTCATCCCTTACTCAGTTCCTACCTGGTCTAGCAGGTGACAGGGCTGTATTAAGAAAGGTCAGATAGTTACAGAACTCAGTTCTAAACTGGCTAAGTCTTGTGGAGGCAGTCACCGGTCACCCCCAAGGCTGTGGGGTGGGGAGGAACTGAGCTCCATGTGCCAGTACTGGATGGGCCCTTTACCTGCTTTGATGGCCTTCTGGTCTAGTTCCTGAAACAACTGCTTCATGTGCTGGGTGTCCTGAGCCAAAGTGAAGGCATAGGCTAGCAGTGCTTTTGTGTAGGTGCTGGTAATGTTGGGAAGAGCCTGAGTGAGGCAGCCCAGGGCCTTCTGCACCACGCTGCTCTGTGGGGGAGAAAGCACATGCTGGAACTGGGAACACATAAGCAAAGAGACATAGATGCAGGCATATGTATGCTGGCAGACGCACACAGAGGTATAAATGCATGGATTTACAAATGTGAGAGCACAACAGCACAGTTTATGCCCAGGTGTGCAGGTCCAGGCACGGGATGGCAAATGGAACAATACCCACTTTCCTGGCTACACACGTGCTCGCTCCGCACACACAAATAGACAGCCCATCCCATGTCACTGCCCTGTGCTTCAGTTAGGACTATGCAGGGATCTCAGTGATTACAGCATCACTGCACTAGAAGCAGCAGAAGTCACCATCCTTGAAAAATTCCCTCTTATCTCAGGGCAGCAGTTCTGAATTGCTTCTGCTTAGCTGCCTATGTACTTCTGCAGTGCCCCTCACTCAGATGCCTGAGTCTGGGAACTATGCCACCTAAACATGCAATTCTCAATACCACCTCTTGCCTCCCCAGTTAAGCCTTTATGGGAGAGTCTATACATGTTATTAAGGTGAAGAATGACAGAGAGCCTGGGGTGCTCTGCCAGTTTAAGCCAGCAGTAGCCCAGAGTGGGCCCTGTAGCACGGGCAGGGTGCAGCTAGGACTGGGCTACTATACAGATGAGCCAACCAGATTAATTAGCAGGCACCTGCAAGCAACCCAAGGGAGTCACATGACCGGAAGGGTCAGAGCCCTGGGAGAGAGATAATGCAGGACCAGAGGCAGGGCAGACAGTCTGACTATGGAGGATGAACATGGAAGAGCTCTCCAGAGGTGCCTGTGATGGAGAGGCAAATTATGAGTGGGCTAAGGAAGCTGAGGGCTAGCAACTGATGAAGAGTCAGGGTTGGGTAGGAGTTTTGTTACAGCCAGTTGGGCTTACATTTTGTTTGGTTTCAGTTTGGTCTGATGCCTGGGGAGGGACCAGGGAGGACTAGATACTGAGAGAAGACCTGGTGGTTTGTGGGGGACTGTGAGGGGTGGCGTGGAGGTGCCAGAGCACCTAGGGCAAGGCGGCAATCCCAAAGCACCTGCAGGGGTGCATCTAGCATGCCCTGAGGGGTGATCTCATAGAGCCCAAGAAAGGCAAGATTAAGACATAGGGACCAGAGGGCCCGAAGCCCAGGGCAGAGCAGAGACAGGGCCTGGGGCCTAGATACAGAGAGAAAGAGAGAGAAAGAGCCCAGAGAGGCTCAGCAGCCCAAGAGAGGGCATGGACAAAGGAAGCTGGGAATCCTGAAGCTCGGTTCGGTCAATTGTGTGGCCACCAGGAGGCATCACAGCTGCCCCAGGACACAAACCTGTCACACAAAACAATAAACTTCAGCGCATATTGGGAGTTTATTGCTCCCAGGCACCACGTTTACATGTGTGCCTGGGACCGTAGCACATTGAGCTGAGTCAGAGCAGCCCTGGCTTGCAAGGAGCCTAGGGGTCAGCCTGCCAGCCCGGGGCTTCTCCAACATGGCTCAATGTGCTGTGGAGGGGCTGGCTACGGCACAAGAGTGCTCCAGTGCAGGGCTAGCTGGCAGGCAGCCCTTGCACTGAAGCACTCTTGTGCCCCAGCCAGCCCTGGCAGCATCTACACATGGGTTGCTGTAGAGTTAATTAGCTTACTCCATCCTCATAGCACCGCATGCATAGACAGTGATGTTTTATTGCAGAGTTAATTAGGCAGCATCGCATTACATATCTTGTGTGTTAAGTGCCCAATGACACTTAACAGCATACAGTTCCAGAAATGCCTACAACCTGCTTTCACAAGGCTCAGCTAGTCTCTGAGGTACCTGGCACTGTTGCTTGGACTTGCAGGTCCACTGATATTGGGAAGGGTAAACTCATTTGTCCTCAGCCAAGTTGTCCTGATCTCTTTAGTTGCAGCCCAGCTAAGACCTTTCTTGGCAAAACAACACACCAAATTCTCTCCATCTCCAACCCAGCTAAAAGCTGGGGAAGGTGCTCATCAATATCATAGATTCATAGAATCAAAGGACCGGAAGCATTGGCGATGCATAGGGGGCATCAGCAGGTGCACGTGCACCCCCTGAGATTGGCGGTGCAGCACTGAGATTGGCCACTGCCAACGCTGCTGGTGGCGCCCGTGGGTGGTCACTGCTCACAACACTACCTCCCCACCACCAACACCACCAGCAGTGTCTGTGGGCAGTTGCTGATCGCCACTGGCCACCACTAACACTGCCGGTGGCGTCTGCAGGTGGTCGCCGATTGCTAGTTGGCACTTGCTACCTGCCCCCTCCCCTACTGCCAACACCACCATAGGCACCTGCGGGAGATCCCCACTTGCCACCACCATGCCTCTGCCGCCAACATCACTGCTACTGCCTGCGGGCAGTTGCTGTGCCCCGCCCCAGCCCCAGGAGGCACACAATATTCATGACCTGAAGGGACCTGTAGGATCATCAAGTCCAGTCCCCTGCCATGGGCAGAAAGTTATTGGGCTCAACAAAGTGCTTGTCCAGCCTCCTCTTTAACACCTTCAAGGATGGTGACTGCACCACTTCTGCTGGGCGCGTGTTCCAGATTCCAGATACCTTCACGGAAAAGAAGTTTCATCAATCAGCTTGTGCCTGTTGGTCCTCTTCCTCCCTAGGGGTGCCTTTCTAAAGAGTTGCTCCCCTAGATCTTGGTGTTCACCCTTGACATACTTGTAGGCGGCTATCAAGTCATCTCTCAGTCTTCTCTTGCCCAGACTGAACAAACCCTGTTCCCAGAGTCTCTCCTCATAGGGCCTATCCTCCAGGCCCCTGATCATATGGGTGGCCCTTTTCTGCACCCTTTCAAGCTTATCCACATCCTTCCTGAAGTGTGGTGCTCAGAACAGGACACAGTACTCCAGCTGTGGCCTCACCGATGCTGAATAGAGGGGAAGGAGCACCTCTTTGGATCTATTCGCAACACACTGGCTGATACACACCAGAGTTCTATTTGCCCTGCTGGCAACTTCATCGTACTGTTGGCTCATATTCATCTTCTGGTGGATTGTCACCCCAAGGTCCCTTTCAGATGCAGTGCCAGCTAGTGGACCACCACCCATTGTATAGTTTTGGTGAAGATTCTTCCTACCCAGATGAAGAACCCAGCACTTGTCCTTATTGAACTTGATCTGATTGCGTTCAGCCCATATTACCAGTCTGCCAAGGTCATCCTGGATGTTTACCCTATCCTCAAATGTGTCCACATTTCCCCACAGGTGGGTGTCATCCACAAACTTAATCACTGTGCTTTCCACACCCTCATCCAAGTCATTGATAAATATGTGTCTATCTGATCTCCTGACTCCAAGGAAAATTCACACAACACTAGTGTTGCATACAGCCATTAATTTCCACCATAGATCTGTATCATGTCATGTCCATCAAGTGTTGCAGTTCTTGTATATTGCAGTTCTAGTATATTGCAGTCCATTAAGTGTTGCAGTTCTAGTATATTGCATGTGGGGGTTTTAATATGAGTGTCTGCCATTTTAATCTGTCTTGTTTCCAGATTCCTGTTCAACAGCATACCTACAGCTGACAAACCACATGTCATATCCTGTGATATAACTATGGATCATTGTCTGACTCTGCCACCTTCTGCAGTCACGATTTTAGCATTTTATTAATATCACTTATATTTGATCTCAGCACCCTTTTCCAATAATGTGTTAGATTGGGGACAACCTCACTGCAAACCAGCTCATGCCCCACATAACAAGACCTGTTGTCACACATTAGTATGTTAAGTATGCATCAAGACAAATAGGTTTGATGTGCATGGCCATAAGTGTAGTGATAGCATCTTCTGGCAAGGCTATGTCAGGGAAGTGAGAAGCATATGCTAGCACAAGTACACAGGAGGGCTGTGCGAAACAGCACCGTTCCGATTCAGCTTCAGTTTTGACAGTTCGACAGAACAGTGTTTCATTTCGAGTTTTGTTTCGTTTTGAAACCACTGTTCCATTTTGTTTCATTGAAACTGTTTTGCTATTCTGACGCTGTTTTGAGGTTTCACCCATAGTTATTATGAGGAAGCAAAATGCAGCGGGAAGGCAGATCGGGAGCTTGCACCCCCAGGAGGGCTCCAGCACAGCCCCTGCAGCCTTCCCGGGGGTGCCAGCAGGGCCCCGATCTGCCTGCCAGCTGACAGGAGATGGGTGCTGCCGCCTGGGGCCAGTGGCATGGGGCTGGTGCAGATCAGCTGGTATGGGGACCCACTGCCCCAATCCCGGAGCTGTGGAGGATCCCCATGCCAGCTGATCTGCCCTGGGCCCCACACCTTCTCCAGCTGGCTCAGGTATGGGGCCAGGGCAGATTAGCTCATGCGGGGACCCTCCCCACCCTGGATCGGCATGCCTGCCCCTCTGCCCGCTCCCTTGGGTCCCAGCAGTTTGCAGCCCAGGGGCTGTGCTCTGTCCTTTTCCAGCAGCTTGCAGCCAGGACCCTCCCCCACACCAGCTGATCTGCCCTGGCCCTGTACCAGAGCCAGCTGGAGGAGGGTGTGGGCCCTGGGGCAGATCAGTTGGTGCAGAGGTCCTCCCACACCCTGGGATCAAGGCAGTGGGTCCCCACACCAGCTGATCTGCCCTGGCCCTGTACCCGAGCCGGCTGGAGGAGGCTGCAGTTGCTTGCAGTCCAGCGCAAGCCCCCCGGACCAGGCTCAGGTCCCAGCGGCTCGCAGCCCCTTTGAACTCAGCCCAGTGGCGGAAGGCAGAGCGCAGCCCTGGCTCTGCTCACCTCCTGCTCTATGGCCCAGCTCCATGGGGCTGGCGGAGCCCACTGGAGTGCAGCCTGGTGGCAGGAGGCAGGGAGAGCCAGGGCTACGCTCCCCAATGGGCTGAGCCACATGGGGCTGCGGAGCGTAGCCCTGGCTCTCCCCTGCTTCCCACCACCTGGCTGCTGCTTTGGAACGCCAAACGTTTCAAAACTTTGGAAATGTTTCAACTGGCCTCATTTTGTTTTGAGGCTGTTTCAAAGCCACCTGTTTCATTTCAATTTTGTTGTTTTGAGCTTAAAATGAGCCGAAACAGCGTCGAAATAAAACAGCTGGCAAAATTTCACGCAGCCCTAGTACATAGTCCTTCTGCAGTCAGCATAAACGAGTGCATGTATATGTTGCTCCAGTAACACGGGCTCTTTTATCTTGACTTGGCATGGTTTTCTGACATGTGCAACAAGCATTGTTGACTTCGTCAGTGTGCCTTTATATTTGGAGCCAGCATTAAATGTCTATAGCCCTTCTCAGATTATCCAGTTCTTAACTGTCCTTCCTGCATTTTTTTAATATCATTTTGTGGGGCAATTATTGGTGTGGTCAGATAGTTACTGGTGTGGAGAGGATATACTTTAGTCTGGACGACAAAAAGTTTCCCAACTCTCTAAAAGATACGTCAAACTCTTCCTCAAATGTTTTGGTTCCCTGTTTTTCTCAATGAGGTCACTTTTAACCTGATAATGGGAGCTCTTTTCCTTAATACTTTCAGAAATTATATCACTTCCAGTTTGTTATTCACCCATTTATACACTTTGCACATCCCTTTAGTGGAGATCAGCTCACCATTATCAACAATGAGTTTTATCTACTACCACTACCTGTGGCTTTTCTCTTATTGTTAATAACTGGGCTTTGACAGGTTGATTTGTACATGAATGATCAACTGAAAATTAACCACCACCCCATTTGCTCTCAGACTGACAGTCCATTCATCTTTTGCTGCAATGGTTCTCATCATTCCTATGGAAACTCAATCTGAGTTAACATGTTTTCATTGCCCTCCTCATCCAGTCTGTGAAGTCTTTGCTGATGTTTGCATACTCTTGCAAAGTCATGTAGTCCCCTGCAGCCTGTTGGAACTTAGAAAACTTAAGACTCTCTGGCAGGATGCCTTGCTGATTCACTCAGGGTTATACTGATCACCAAACTTGGGGTCAGGAAGTATTTTTCCCTTAAGTCAGACTGGCACAGACCATGGGGATTTTGCTTTCCTCTGTAGTGTGGGGCATGGTCCTTTTCCTAGGATCTTCTTGGCATTTATGAACCAACTATTTCCCTGTTGTTGCAGTGGCAGGGCTTTGGCAGTACTCTTGTGTCCCCTGCTTTTCCCAATGGCGTGTAATAAGGTGTTCTTGATGCTCCAGGTTTTGCACCTTATAATTGTGTGTGAGGATTTGAAATGGTGATTTTGCGGGGGTTCCTTGGATTAATGGTTGCCTGTGAACACGGGATGGGACTCAGTGACTCAGAGAAACCCTTCCCATCCTGCATTCTTGCAGTTGTTCCCATCTGCTGGGTGTTGTCCTGGCTTGTGCAGTTCTCACAAAACACAATGCACTGTTCTCAGTTGCTACTGACTGTGTGCCATGGGCCATTCTGCCTTAGCTCCCTCTCTGTGGGATATTTTGGGTTCTCAGTCACCTCTGCAATGTTGGAGTGCTGTCCATTTTCCATAAGCTAGTGACTTCAGTGGCTTGTAAGGTTTCCAGCCCTCCAGAATTGCCCTGGAGTCTCCAGGAATTAGATATAAATCTCCAGGAGACTGCTGAGAATCACCCAGGAGATAAATGATAGGGCATTCATTAAAAAAAATATTAAACATTGAACCTGATGTATATAGTAGCCCAATAGGTTTTTAAAATGTAATAGTAAAGTGCATTTGCCTTCCTGACGTAAAGTCTACACACCGTAATCCGTAACTGATATACGCAAGCATGCAGGCACGTTCACGTTGTGTGTCACGGGCACGCTGGTGTTCCAGGAATGTCCCGGAATAGATTCAGAGTTGGCAACCCTAGTGACTTGGACAACTCTAATTGCGTTGTTGGGAGTTAATTAAGGCTCTCAACAGTGACTCTTGAGTTATTTTGTTAGGGATTCAAATCACACTCTGGTCTCTTTTCAGGGATTCCCCAAGGCAGACTCAGCTCTTCACCCTCAGATCAATCTTTTTTTTCTCAAATTCTCAGTCATGGTTCATGCTCGTGTGGAATACGACTTTTCAAATATCGGTCATGCAGTTTCATAACTGGTCTTCTCCACTGGAGTTAACAGCAAACTGCTAGATGCTCAAGTGCATCAGGACCTTCGGCATCAGGCAGGAGGTTCCCTTTTCAGCACCTTCCTTTGCACAGGTCCCTGTCACTTGCAGCAACAGTGTGAAGCCCTACTTCCATCCTCTCCACTTTTCATCCAAAGTTTCCACCTTCCACTCAGGTCATTACGCCCCATTGCGCTTTCTCCCCTAGTAGCAGCAGGTGTCCAGAAGCCTGTCTAGGCCAAGATGTTTGAGAGAGATGCTTTTATGCAGAGATGCAATTCCAACTGCACCTGCATCATATGACACAGGCATCGGCAGTGCCTCTCATCAGGCTCCCCCTACTTCGAAAGCTAAGCTAAGTGCCTAGAAGTGCAATTCCCAATATCCCCCAGCCATGTGAGCTGCCTCTCAGGGATGTTCTTCCAATGGGCAGTGAAAACTTCTTTCCCCTCACCCAACAACACCCCTGCACAGGAATGGTTGGAGCTTTCCCACCACCCCAGTAACTCCCTCCCTGTGAGCAATGCTCTACCTCTGCCCACAGCAAGAGCTCTTTAGGACACAAGGGGATGCAGCAAAGGTCCTGGATACTCACATTCACCATCTCCCCAGTCTCCAGATATGCTGCAGTGATGTAGGCAGCTAGGGGGAACTCGCCATCCACGCCGCCCTGTGGGAAGCACCGACACCCAGGGAGACAAAGGCATCAGAGAGAGGCAGCATCAACAGGACCAGACCCAATGCTCCCACCCAGCTTCGTTCCCACCCTCATCCCTGATGTGACCTCTCTGACAAAGCAGTGAGGATACTGAGCTACCTTCCACACTTTGGAAGGCAACGCTTTGAGGGCCACCCAGCCACGCCAGTACCTTTATTGCAGTGTTGAAGAGCTTGCCCACACTCTCAAAGCAGCCATTGGGCAGCTGGTGAAGCTGTATCCAGCTCAGCGCATCCCGGACATTCCTGTCATCGAGGAAGATGTACCGCTTGGCCTGCTCAAAGCACTTGGCCACAAATGCTGTCAGCCTGGAGAAGAGGGAGGGAGAGTATGTGGAGGGGAGCAACCAGGAGACTGAGGATGAGGAGGGAGATGCTGTAAAGGAGAAACACTGAAAAGAGAGAGAGAGAAAGAGAGAGAGAAGAAGAAGAAAGGCAGGAGAGAGAAAGAGACAAAGGAGTGAGGAAGAGGAAGCAGGAGGATACAGGGCAGGGAAAGGAAAGCAGGACCTCGGTCAGAATCCTTTCCCCCACCCTCATCCCAGCACCTTGATGCTATGCCAGATGTAGGCACATTTCCCTGGGGGTTCCTGGACTCTGGGCAGAGTATGAGGCACCTTAACCCATCACCAGGGGGCAGGGGCATGTACAGAGATTTCCTTCAGAGCAGATCAAGTACCTCTCCCAAGCGGCACAGTGAAGGGTCCCTGAGGGGTTGGCAACAACCCAAAACCTCCAGTTTCCAGAGCTCCAGGCTCTCAGACAGTGGACCACAGGGAAGAAAGGCCCCACTGCTTACCAGGTGTTACCATCTTCATCTCTAGTCCCAAATGCACTGTAGGAACCATCATGATGTTTATAGAGCAGCTGCCTCTGATGTCCTAGGGAGACAGCAAGAAATGATAGTCAACCACTATGGCTAGGAAAAGGGCATTTTTAGGGTGGATATGGGGCAAAGATGACAAGATATTTAGAATCTCATTGGGAGATATTTGCACAGGGTAAAGGTGGGGAAGGCAGATGACCATTTGCAGGATGAGTGTCAGAGGAGGAGGGGAGGACTACTGGCAGGTTGTGGACAAAAAGAAGCAGACAGAGATTGGTATGATTACCACAGAGGGTACAAAGAAGGGATGAAGGAACACTGGCCAGATGGGTATGACATATGGGCAGGGTGACTAAGGGGTGGGGGTACTGATAGGCTGTGGGCAGGGAAAAGCAGGGAGTGAGTCACAGGATGGGGGTAGGGGAAGGGCAGGGGCACACTGGCCAGCTGGGCATGGCATATTGGTAGAGTGGGTGTGGGGAGTGGTATACTGACATAGTGAGTGTGGTGAGCGTAGTATATCGGCAGGTGGGTGTGGGGAGTGTGGTGCATTGGAAATCTAGGCACAAGGGGCATACAGGGGTATATTGGTAGGCTGGGGGTGGGAGTGGGCAGGGACAAACTGAGTAGCTGGGCACAGTATAGGCAGGCTGTGTGCAGGACATGTGGTATACTGGCAGGGTGAGCACAGAGTGTGCAGTATGTTGGCAGGGCAGGTGCAGGGGAAGTGTAATATATTGGCTGGGTGGGCAGAGCAATGGGCCTGGGCTGGGGTCACTTGCCACTGCACAGGAAGCCTGTTGCCCGGTCCCTGATCTCTGGGGTAAGCTGCCCCGTCTTCTCCAGGTACTGCAGCACATAGATGATGGGAGCAAAGAGCACCATATTCTGCTCCCCACAGCCTTGGGGCATCTTCACCAGCCGGTCCAGGTTCTGCAGTGCTATGACCATGATGTCACCTGCCATGAAAGAGTGGGGTCCAGAAGAGGGGGTCAAAGAGTAAAGTAGAGGAGAGCCCCATGGGGCAGGAGGGAGGAGTCCCCAGGCTGGGACAGGAGTGGTGCAGCTATTCCCCCGGGGCATACCCACTGCAGCCTGAACAGCCTTACCCCACAGCCAAGGACAGGGCAGTGCCCCACCCTGCCCACCAACATGTTACATCCCTCATTGCACTAGAAGTGACCCAGGTTCTCATCCCAAAGGGGCCATTCCTTGAAGGGGGGCAAAAGGGGCACAGAGGGCACCTGCCTTTCTTCAGGAGTGTACCATTACTACATGGCGGGGGTGGAAAGGGAAGGAGTGTGCCACATTGGAGCATGTCCTAGGAAAGTGAAGATCTATTTCTGCCCCTGGAAGGGGAAGGGGAATGTTCCACTCAATTTGGAGTTATTTTTTCTTCCCCCTGCAAATACTCCCCAGAGCACAGGGCTATTTTCCCACCCTAAGCACATGTGGGGGGTGGTTTTATCTTAGATGGAGTATTCCATTGCAGTGGGTGCAGGGGGGAGATCTGCTTAAATAGTCTATTTGAACAGGGGTGGCCAACTCACAGCACACATGCCAGAAGTGGCACAGGCAGTGCTATGTGTGGCTTACAAGCCCTGGGCATTCAGTAAAGGCCAGTGTTGGAATAGAAGCAGGGGTGCTTGAAGTCCCCATGCTGGGTGGAGTGAAGCAGGGTACCACAGGCTGCTACCAGCAGTGCCATATGTTGCATACAAGAGGCAGGTTAACCCTTCCCTGGCTCTGTAGCCGCTGCTGAATTCAGGGCTTTGGATGAAATGGCGGTGGCTGCAGGGCCAGGGAAAGGTCACCCTGGCACTTGGGGATGATGCCTCCTCTCACAGCAGCATCCCACCCCTACTTGGCTCAAGCCCCCATGTCTCCACTCCACTACCCCAGGATGCAAACCCTATAATGGACAACTCTGTGAGGTGGGGATCAGAGCAGCCCTTGGTGGGCAGGGGGGATTAATTTTTTGCATGTGCCCTCTGTGTCCATCCATCCCCCCTCCTGCAAGATTGGTCCCCACTGGGTTAGAGCAAAGGCGGGCAGCATTTCCTCAACAGACTGAGTAGAACAGTGTGCTGAGTTGAAGGGTAGTGGGAGAGGAGTCCTAGCTCCCTGCTGGAGTGCTCTGTTACCCCAAAAGATGGGTTTTCTCCAAGGTGGAATGATCCACTGGGAGGGAGTTCTTCTGTCCTGGGTCAGCTTCCCAGGTTGGGAGCAGCACCCCATGGTTCATAGGTTTTAATCCAGATTTTGTCTGAACCAGTCTGGGTCAGGTTACGTAGGTGGAGGGGACATGGGGGACCCAGGCCTTTCCCTTGGGAGTTCCCACAGTGTGTGGTTGCTGTACTGGGTCAAAACTGAAGCAGGTATTTTGGTGGATCTTGTCGCAGCACGTTGGAGCACAAGCATGGGAAAGGGGGCAGGGGAGACTTAGCCTTGGACACACCATGTTGGAGGCTCACAGTGTGGGCACAGGGATGGGGGACCTGGATCCCAAAGCTGCCTTCAGTGCTAGTGCTGGCTCCCTTACCAATGATGGACACAGTAGCTCTGGCTGAACCTTTCACCACATTACTGGGTAGCTTCAAGGGCACCAAGTCCTGCACTGGATTCCCTGAGACATGGAGGAGCAAAAGGAAAGAAAGTCTAAGAAGACAGTTCCAGAATCCCTTGCAAACTCTCCCCTGGAGCCAGCCCTGGTCTCTGACTTGCACCCCCTTCCACACACGTGGCCAAAACCTTACAGACTTTATGTCTGTTCCCTCTCACTCCTCTACCCCTTATTCCTCTGCACCACCTCTCTCTGCAACTCCAGTGGATGCTGAGCCTTTTTCCTGCACTGCGGTCCTCAACACCCAGAGCAACCTCCCTACTGTGACTCCATCTCTTTCCAAACCTCAGGTGTTTTAGAAGGGTGTTTTCTCCCTTTGCCACCCCAACAATCTCCCACTCCCACAATCTCTTCCACATTGCTGGTGGCTTCATCATCAACCAGGAACCTCACAGAAGGGGGCAGAGCCCTGAGGTCACCTCCAGTCTGTCTAGGAGGGGGCAGTAAAGGACTGTTCCCTGGGGACTGATCAGATCACATACAACACGGCACCTCTTGCAGTGTGGGGGGTGTCTGGTAATCCCACAGTTCAGGGTTTTTGCTAGTTGCTGGTGGGGCCAGGATGGAATTTCTTCCCCAACATAAATGGTACTGGCTTTTGAGAGAAGGTGGGGATTGCCTTCCTCTGTGGCATTGGGAACCTGGCCACAGCTATGGCTGGGGGCAAGGAGAGCATTTTCTTATAACTATTTCCCTGTCATTGCAGTGGCAGGGCATTGACAAGGCCCTTGTCCTTCTGCTTTTATGTCTGGCTTACTTGTAAGGTGTTCCTGCCTGGTGTTTCAGGTGCTGTGCTGTGCTGTGCTGTGCAGCTGGGGGTGAGACTTTACAGTAGTGACTCTCGGGATTCCTTGAATCAAGAACAGCTTGCAAATGCACTGAGGAGACTCCTTCCTGTCTGATATTCGTATCTGTTCTAGTTCTAATGACTCAAGCGATGGAGGCTGCCAAGCTTGTTTATCAGCAACAAGGGATATTTATATTACAGGCTTGGTCCTCCTGCAGGGACATTCAGTGGGAGCTCCCTTGACTCCAGAATTGTAATGAAATTGTACAACTTAACAAGGGGATAAGAAGGACAGACACAGCACTTGTCTACAAATCGATGAAGGCCCAATAACCAGTAAGCCTGGTCTGACTGTGAAGAAGTGTTTCCTTTCAGTGAAGGATCCATGAGACAGTAGAAATGTCTCACCAAGGGAAGAGATAAAAGCCTCTCCACTTCAACTGTTTAAAGCCAAAACTAGACAAAGCCCTGGAGAACAAGGAAAAATCCTGCACTGAACCTTGTGGTTGTACATAAGATGTGATTTTATATCCTCAAATAACACTCAGAGGCTGTTCCTAAGCCATATTTTCCAGGGCAAATACATTACTAATATGTCTCATAGCTGTATAATCTTCCTATAGCAGCACCCCACCACACACCCCTCCCCTCACTATCTACTTGTATGTCCCAGTACATGATCACAGGGGAAGCCCTATTACTGACCAGTGCAGACCACTTACCTTCTTTGGGGCACAACAAGGAGCTGTGAGCCTTTTCCACCAGCACTCCCTCTGGCTGTTGGGGGAAAGGTCAGCAATATCAAGGGTAGTGAAGAGAAGATAAAAATGGGGAAACAAGTAGGTTACAGACAGAACAGGTCAACAACCCATCTCCTACCTCAATATCCCAGAGTGTGGATCATCTCTTCCATAAGAAATGTCACTTTTAAAAAAATTTGTTTTCATTCCAAAAGGGAATGAAACTAAATATTTTCAGGATTTCCTGTAAAACCAAAATGCTAAAAACAAGAAATCCATTTAAATACATTTTATTAAAAAAAAAAAGGGAATGTATTTTTTAAAATCCTTTTGGCCTCTATCTTATTTCTATTATTCAACATTATTTCCTGATATGTCACTAACAGTAGTGCATAACAAAATGTCTAAAAATTGTTTTATTAAAAAAAAGGGCTGTTAATACAGAAAGAAACATTTTCACTTGTTTCTAAACTGAGGTATCTCTTGTGCTTTCCTGGAATAGGATTACACCTAAATGCTGGAGGCTGCAAATGGGAGAGGAACAGTCATACCCCGTTTACTCTCCCTTTCAGTATATACTCTCTGCCACTGTGTAACACAGGGTCTTTGGTAAGATGGAGCTGTGGTCTGACCTAGGAAATGGCAGTTCTTGTGTTCTTATTTTAAATCTTATTTTCCTGTTGAAAGTCTCAGTGTCAAACTGCTTTGTTTCAAATAGGACCATTTTGGAAAATATGTTAAGAAAGTTTCAGTCTGCATTCAATAGCAACTGCCCTTCAAATTTAAAAAGAAATATATAAACTATTAACTTATATTATATCATGATGCATTGTGAAGCATCAGAAGCAACAGTTTATAAATGACATGTAATACCTCTATAATATATGACCTTACTTGATATGTGGTTATATTATAAGCACTATTACTATTGACGTCATAAATAATGTAAAATGGAAATAACATAAAAATAAAACCACACAAAATAAATTATAAGATGAAATGGACATGTCTTTGTAAATTAAGTTTTAAAATGTTGTTCCAGCTGAAATTGATTTCAGCTGGGGGGGGGGAATCTTCTGTTTTCAAAGAGGCCATCATTGAAACTGATATAATTACATACACAAATGGTTTGGTCAAAACAGTATTTTTGGAAAACAATTCCAACAAAAACTTTCCTCCTCTGTCTAGTTACAAACCCAGTGTGACTTTGTGCCAGGCTTGTGCGAGGGCTCCTCTGTCCATGGAACCCTCTGGGTTTTTGCTCCCTTTCCCTGCCCAAAGACTTATCAGTGCCAGCTTAAGGACCTCAGAGCCCCCGACAAACCTGCCTCCAAGGCTCAGCTTCTGCATTGGGCCTAAGTGAGGGGAGCTGGCTTCATCCTCTGATGGGGAGTGAGGGAGGCAGGATCAGTGGGTACAAAGCAGGCCCATATTCCAGGGGCAGAAGGAGGAAAGAGGTTGAGGTTGTGGGTCTTTCCCTCGGAGGAGGCTTGCAGGGATGGCAATGAGCATGAAGTGGAGGAAACTTCTTCCAGAAGCATATTCATCAAACCTCACTGAAAGGGCCTGGGTACATCCTAGATCAGACGTGGAGATTCTAGTGAGCCTTCCTGAACAAAGGAAGGCAATGTGGGGACAACATGAAACCTGATTTCAGATTTCCCCCCTTGCAGTAAGGGAGGAAAAGAAACTCAGCCCCAAACTGACCTGAACTAGAAGTGGTTTGATCAGTGTGTCTGTCCGTCCTCGGGCTGGCACAAATGGCCTCTCTTTTCCACAGAGCTCTTTGGTGGCCAGGGCCTCTGTGCTGAGAGTGATATTCACCAACCCTGAAAATAAGCGACAACCACTGTACAGCAGCCAACCCCTATGGAAATACCCTCCGTTGTGCTGATAGATGGCACCTTCAGAAGACATTCTGCAGAACCTGTGCCCTAGTGATGAAAAGGTCTGTAACTTATTCCCAGAGTCAGACAGCCTTCCTCATCCTAGGCTGGATGGCAAGTGGCACCCTCCAGTGAAAAGAGCACATATTCCCATTCTTTTTATCCAGTGCCACATAAAGAGAAGTCAAATACTGTACAGAGTTGCTTCCCTCAGCTTCTTCCTGCGTACCCCTGCCCACTCCCATTTTCCTCACCCAGGTATGTAGGTGTGACTTCCCACTGAAATGTCTTGGCTTCGTTGCCACACAGGCAGGTGGTGTAGAGACAGCTCTTACACAGCTCCAACTGATAGTTTGAGGACTCTGCCAGGGTCACCTGGATCTAAGGAGACAGCAGTGATGGACAAATAGAACCAAGAAGACATAAGATATGTGCCATGAGGGTGAATCCAAGACCACAGGCATTTCTCCCACACACTGTACTGTACCTTGTGTGGAGCCACTGGCAGGGCTTACCATAATGCACTTAGGAAGATAGTTGAAGACGGTGGCCTTCAGGACAAAGGTCTCTCCCCGGATCACAGCATATGGCAGCGTGGGCTCTACGAAGAATGGCTTGAAGGTCCGGAGGCTTGTGGTAGGAGCAAGCCCAAAGCCAGTCTCAGCTGTGCAGAACATCCCAGCTTTCCACTGAGTGATGGTGTCAGGCACAGTAACTGTGACATTCCTATTTCCTTTGGGACTGAGAGGAAAATGCTTTAGTAGAACACCATTGCCTTAGACAGTAGCTGTTCATGCCTCAAAGAAGTTGTGACGCTTTATTCCCAATGTGTCCATTCCCATGACCTTAGTCTGAGCATCACTGAACTGTGAGGTCTCTGACAGCTGACCCCACCACCACTTCCATTTTGTGCTTTGGGCAGGTCTCTGCTTTTTCATTCGGGCCACAGACAGTGTTCTCTGAGATTTGCTGTTCAAGTGTGTTAAAACAATCCTATCTTATGAGAGAGGCTGATTGCCCTCACCTCCCATTGAAGTCCATTGGGAGTCAACTGCAGGTGAACTTTGAGATTCCCAATCCAGTCCTCTAGAGCTCAGCCCTGGAACTGCCAACATCAACATTTCTGACTGGAATAAGATGGATAGGATGACCATAAATCTTGTTTTCACCAGGATAGTTCCATTTTAAACACCTGCCCTGGGTAGACTGTCCAAATGAATGCTTTTATCCCAGTTTCAAAAATCTCTGTAAACTTCTCAAAATATGGTCAGATGTACATTTGAAGCAATTCAAATCCTATTTCAAGTTGAATCACTTCAAAGCAGAGCAACTCAGTATTGTTCGGATGTGCAGCTGCCTACCCACATCCACATCAGAATGTTACGACCGAATGCAGTGGAAATACTTTCCAACTACGGCGCACAATAGGGAGCTGCCAGTACTCTGGCATCCTGTAGCACTGAAGACTGGAGCTCATAGACAGCTAAGCATGGAGCAGTGTGCGTGGGAAGCAGTGTGTTACGGGAAGACTTTGAAAAGGCAGCCCTTAAGTAAGCACCCCCTAATGCTTTTCAGGGTTAAACTCATAACGCACCTCATTAGACTCAAAACAGTCCTCAGAAAATGCCAGCTCTTACCTTTCACTTGTTTCTTCACTATGGGAAAAAAAAAATCGAGCAATTCTTCTGCTGCAAACAACTCAGACTGCAACCAGTCAGAATATTTTTGACACTATAGATTCCTAATGGAAATCTCTGAGTTTTATCTTGTGAATTGTGTATATGTGTTTGCACACCTACTGGTGCTAAAATTGTGTGGCACCCTGCGGCAACCTTGAAAGCGTATCACATATCCTGGGTGCCATGGCACCCTGTTTAAGAATCACTGCTGTAAGTGGAGAGTCAGGATGGCTTTATGCAAGGCAAGTGAGACCAAGAGAGCAAAAATTTCCATACAGATATAATTAATGATAATGCTTAGCTCTTTTCATATACAGCATATGCCCTCTGAAGACCTAAAAGCACTTTATGAACACAGGTGACTACTGCTCCTCTTCTTTTGTGACTGAGGAAGCCATCACAGAGAGAAGTGACTTAAGGCCATGGTAAGTTAATGGAAGACCCAAGTATCAGAATCAAAGTGTCATCAAATAGTTCCCAATTCTTTTTTTTGCAGTAACTCCATTTCCAGTCAGCTGTTGACCCCACGTACAGGCTGAGCTTGACCACTACAACTGAATTTCTATGGAGCACGTGATGTCACTCTTTAAATGCTGTGAACTATATATGTTTGAGACCCTTAGTTTGGAAACTGCTCCCATTCCTACATGCCAAGAACACATGTGCCCCTAGACTTCATTCCAGAGACCCAGTTTAGTCTGCCTCTGCACAGTTCAAAACACCTAGAAGCAGCAATTCTGCATCAAAGAGATGAAGCAGAGTCAAGGGACAGTCACATGGCTGACATTAGTGACCATTAAGACAACCAACAACAATCTGTAGTTAGGAGAAAATAACCTGCCAAAAGCTTACTAGATTTATGTCTCCTACTAAGGGAAACATGTCCTCTGCCCCAAAGAGTTAATTTTTGCCTACCGCATGTGATGAGATTGGTTTGCTGAACTGAACACATAACAAAGTCATCATTTAGGAGGAAGCGGGTGGTCAAAGTGGATTAGAGACACCTGCTGTAGAGCAAGCAGAACTGGTGAGGCCCGAGCCCAGTTACTTAGTATTCTCACCAGACTCCAGAGAGGGACAGACAGGGACATAACTAGAGAAGGCAGGGATGGAAAATCTTCCTTAGCTCATCCTGCCTCTCCCCAGAGATTTACTACAGGATGGTTACCTATTGGGTTATCATATGCTGATGTCAGTAGTGAGACCATATAATATATTACTTTTATATCAGATCAAACACAAGGCTAAGCCTTGTCAAGATTGTTTTTCTGTAAATGGATTCTAGCTTTTTTATGGCCATGGGCATTTAATGAAATAGAAACCTGGCTGAAACTTCATACTGCAAAACTAATTACTAGCAGCTTGGTTGTTAGAGGATCCATACTATCTGAACCTTTCCTGAGTATGTGACTCAGCAGTTATCCCCATTCATCTGATATGCTAAGAGTTGACCCTATCTATGTCCATTCAGGATTACACTAAGACAGTCAGATAAGGTTCTGCTGTTTTTCCACTTACCCTATAGGAAATAAATCCCATATCCAGGTTTCGGGAAAATACTTGCGAACTTTCTCTTCAATGGTGGGTACCGGCATAGGTGTGGTGATTCCAAGTGTAGTTGTTGTCCCAGTCATAGAAAATGCTGGGGGGAACAAGGACTTGGTTATTAGAAGACCCTTGGAACCAGTTTACAAGCAGAAGAGTCCCATCCTTAGCTCAGAAATTAAATGGTTGGAAGTCAACTTACTAGCCAAGCGGCTAATATAATGACATACCCACAGACAACTTTCTGACAATTTAAGGCATCGAGCCCTCAGGCACAGGCTATGTCAAAGTTTAGGGCAGAGTGGCATTTTCTCTTTCTTTTCTTCCTGCATGCAGTCACAACATACTTTTTACCCAGAGCACTGAGCTACTTCTGCCTTAAAGGCAGAGCACTCTTCTGGGCAATAAGAAAATGAAGAATGAAGAGCTGGCAGGTACCTACTTTGGAGAAATGGTCTTATCTCATCCCACATATATGGTTTGGGTGTAGTAATTAGACACTCCCTTGGCTTCTGGATATTGGTGTTGGATAAGACTTTCAAGCCCATTGCCTGAAGACAGAAGGAGAAAGGGAATGCTAGGAGCTTAGGTATCAGAAGCCCAA